ATTAGTAAGAAATTAATATATATTAAAAATAAAATTTTAGAGTAGCATTATTACTTAAAAAAATAAGATCCTTTAATAATAAATGCAAGAGTTATCAAGAGCCAGACTTTGAAAGATGAAAAACTCACATTGACTTCCCCTGAAACAGTAAGAGGTCTAAAAGTTGGGTCCCAAATTTGTAATCTTGTTCACTGGTCTCCTAAAGTGACTTGAGCATTTGTTATCAAGCAGAAGTTACTAGAGCAACTGTCATAGCCACCTTCCAGGGCAAAGAGATCACTTGAAATAATTATCCTTTTGATTATTGTGGGTTACTGGAGAATCCAAGTTTATACTGTGATCAAAGGCTTTGGGTGCTTCAGTCAGACGAGCGCTTTTGTCTATTTTACCCATTTTATTCATTTTACAAAAATATCTGTTGGCTAGCAAGCACAACCTGCTCTGGAGATTTGTGACCATTATGAAAAAAACTCAGGATAAGTAAAATAGAAACCAAACAGTAATTTGGTGTCTGTGCTACAGACTAGAGTTCTTTGTATAGGAGATTGAAACCTAGATCATGTTGGGTTTTTCTCCATAAGTGTTCCTTAGTACTGGCAAAGTATATTAAATCCGCTCCTGTGTACATTTTTGTGGGATACAGCTGTGCTATATTGTTATGACATCTGCACATTCATAGAGGAGAAACATCTACAGTTGTTCATCTATTGTTACTGTTTCCGCATAGTTTCACGCATCTAATGCTGCGTGCGTTTTGCGTGGTTAAGTTTTAAACTCTCAGCCAACCCGGGTTTGTTGCTAACCGGCTGTGTATGAAACCGTGGAGCATTTAGCACAGACGTATGCACATTTCTGGACCCACACGCTGTTTACTTTGTCTTCACTCATTATAGTACAGGGTCCTGTCTCACTGAGTGCTAAAAAGTAATGCTGCCTGCTTTTATGAGGTGCGACCCGATTAAAAACTACACATTTACCTTACCACAGGTAAGCTCCTGAGAGGATTTGATCCTGTTTATCCCAAGAGCCTCTGGATTGACACAAAAACATTTTGCAATGGACTTCCTTTTCATATGGTTTTTGACAAAGAGGTGAGACAAGCATGTGGTAAGGGCATTTGGTTTGCATGAACCATATAGGAATTTTCTTCTGCTTTGACTGTCCCACACTTCACTGCTGCGTGTGCTGTGTGTAGAGGGCACGCTCTTTTGTAACATTTACAGAAGTGCTCTGTACAGGGACATGCAATAAAAGTCACTCATAACAGCTGGATCTGGATCAGTTCAGATAGGAATCTCCTTTGAATTTATTGAGATTATCATGTCTGAAACAGCTGCAGATGTGCCAACAAGGTTTGTTGCAGCAGTCTATCCGTTACCAAACACAGAACTGAATTTTTCTGAGGTTTCTGGCCACCTTCCTGTCCTTGGATGTGCCAGGGACACAATCCATCCTTTAAACTGGCTTTGTACCGATAGCTACTCACCCTCTCCTCCCAGTTACCAGCCTAGCCAAAGGCTTTTGTAAGGCTCTGCTGGCAGCTGATGCTCTGCATGCTTCCTGAGTCTACTCCCACACGCTTCTGCTGGGAAAACCCAGCTACCTACTAAATCGGGCAGCATGCAACCCCATCTAGTAGGAACTGGGCCCCAAAATCTCTTTATCTCTCAGGAGAGGATTGAGTCTCCTCTCCTGTGCACACATACTCTGGAATTGCCTTTCCCTTCACAGGGACTGCTCTGTGGCTGGTTTCCAACTAGCCGGGTTCCCACCAAGCTACAGTTCCTCTTGCTCCCAATTCCGTGCAGAGAATATTAGCTTAGGACAGGAGCAAAGAAAGGAGAAGCTCAGAATGAGACAGCAGAAGAAAGCTGAACACAGCCACTCAGGGAACGTCTTTTGGCATCACACTGATAGAGATTCCAGAGCACAGAGTCTGCTTCGTGCCACTGTCCACATTAGCCAAAGTTCAGAGTTTTAAAACCTTTCAAGACATCCAGTCAGCATAATTTGATAAAATTACTAGTGTGGAAAAAGGGCAAGTCCTGCACCCATTATTGGTAGCTAGGTCAGAGCTTCAATAACTCTGATGACAAGCAGCGAAGGCACGGTGGACATTTCTGCAGGAGTTAAGAGTTCATGTATGGTCATTAGGCTAAAGGGAATAACTAAACCTTTACATAGCAATGGTTAAAAGAAGGGAACCCATGGCATCCGTTAGAACATTAATATTTGCCAAGACATTTTATGCCATAGTTACTTTCTTTTTGGAATGCAGGACATGCTCTGGTACCTAATTCTCTCTTGCAGCTACCTGTAAAGCTATTTGTTAGGTCTACACAAATGCAAGCAAGGACAATAGCAGATAGTTTTGTTTTGTTTTTAACAATCGATAGGGAAGAGCATTTGGATAACAACATCCCTTTCCAGGGGGTTGTCTTGCTATGAAGGACACTCATTCAGAGCTTTGCGGTAATACGCAAACTTTGCTCAGCAATAAGCCACGTAGTATAGCAAGGCTAAGCGTGTGCACATGTATAAACAGTGATCAGTTATAGCTTGGCGTGAACTCAAACAGGATATGAATTACAACGCATTGTCCATATTTTCTTTTTAAGCTCAGAGTGAAGCAAGCTGGGGTGAGCATTCAAAAGATTGTACCAGGCCTTCAGACCACAGGCATCTGCTTGGATCACTATTTCAGTATCGTTCACCCAGAAGTACCCTTCACCATCTCTAGCATTCAGAAATTCATCAACAGCCAATTTGTTTTCCAGACTAGAAGAGAGATGATGCCAGAGTCATGGAAACAACGGCCAATGCTTGAGCTGAGAGGTACTTCACTGTTTTCAATAGCATAAGTGTTCATATTAAATCAGGAATTATGCTGGAGTTGAACTAAAGCCTTTCTGTGGACTTCTGGCTTCTTTGCACTGCTAAGAATTTTCTTTGCCAAAGAAATTACTACTTTGTACATGGAACAACATTTCAAACCCAGTCACCCAGCACAGGCAATGCCAGTTCACAGATGTCGGATGGCATCTTTGGCACGTGCAGACAGTAAGGGAACGCGGGGTGAGCATTCCCGCAATCACACCCCGCAGCCATCGCTCCTGCCAGCGCCCTGTTCCCGGGCGAGAGGTGGGAAGGGGCAGGGGACAAGGGAAGTGCTTAGAGACAAAGTCCTGATAACATTGCTACAGCTGGAGGAAAGAAATGGCTTCCCCCGTGCCTCCGTGCATTTTGATTCCTAAAATGTGAATATATGATTCGTTCTTAATTTATGCCTTTGAGGGAAGTTACTTGCTACTGGCTGGGTTTCAAATGTGGATAAAAATAGATTACTTAGCTGTGCTTTTATTTTCTGTAGTTGCATTTTCAGGTTCTGATTTCTGTCTTCACCCCCCCAATGTTACATAAGAGTTTACCAGTTAAAATTATTTTAGCAAAAAAGATATTTTACTTGCTTTGTTTTTACTACGAAGAATGAATATAAAATGATTCTCTGCTTCGTGTAATTAACTGTAATGACATTTAGTTTAAGTGTTCTATGACCTCAATTTTGCTTCTCTGAACTACATAATATGACCTAATTTTCCCTTCTCTCCTTTCACCTTTACATAATGAATGTCAAATCTGGTATTCCTGAGATTCAGAAAAAATTAAGAGCTTAGGGAGACCTTGAAAAAGTGGTTACCAAAACAAGGAACTTTAACTAGTCACAAGTACAATTTTACTTCCTCTTATGCTGTCAGGGTTAATTCGCGTGGTATCTCTGATGTCCCAATCCTGTTAGTTTTCAAGCTGTTTATCCAGTTGCCCTGGGGATGGGGTGAGAGAGAAAGAAAGAAATAGGACTACCAAGATTGCTGTTTAGAAACCAAGGATACTTATGAAGCAAATACAGAATACTAATAATAAAAACCAGAAAAAACCCAAACCCATAACCAAATCTCTCAAAGAAAACAAAAACTCAACCCCCCCACCAAAAATCCCTTCTACTTTTCAGGCATTTTTGTATCTGCTTATTTAGACGATCGTAGTGACTGAAAGCGCCAGCTTCCAGGAAGGAAGGCTCCCTTCACTTTACTGGGGCCACGTACTACCCACTATGAAATTAAACTGTAAATGTTTCTGTTAATCTTTGTGAGCCTCAGTTCCCCTGTGCATGATGCTGACCGACTGGCTTCAGGAACAGCTCAAGAACTAGCAGCAGAGGAGAGGAGAGGCGTTGTGAGCATTGGGGTTCCTCGAGAAGAGGAGGGACGTAGAGCACGGTTGGGCTCTGCCTAGCAGTTGCAATGAGTGACTGACTGCTTTCTGGGTCCTGAATTTTTTTTATTTGCCTAGTGTACCTCCTGCAAACAGGTCCACCTCTAATTCCAGGAAACAGAGTAATTCCTGTGATGACCCAGACCCTACAAAAAGCCACTGTCTTTAGAGCTCATCCCCTAAAATTAACACCGGTGATACTGAGCATCATGTCAAAGTCCAAGCTGCTGAAAGCTCTTACCGACACTTGTTTCAAACAGGCCAGATGATCTGGATGGAGTCCCTGCAGTGCATGCTCTATCTCTGCTCACCTTTGCTTCGCACTTTGCATGAACTGGAGGAGCGACAGATGCATATTGCGGACATTGCACCTCACGACGTGACCAGGGATTTGATTCTTCTCAATCAGCAGCGACTGGCAGAGATGGAGCTCTCTAACCAGCTGGAGAGGAAGAAGGAAGAACTGCGGATACTGTCGAAGCACCTGGAGGAGGAGAAGAAAAAGACTGAAGCTCTGCTCTACGCCATGCTTCCTCAGCACGTGGCCAACCAGCTGAAAGAGGGGAAGCGAGTTGAGGCAGGTGAATGACCAGGATGTATTTGTGATGCATTATTTGTGCACCAAGTGATGGTGATAGAGAGACGGGGGTGCCGGCACAGCCCCATTGCCGCTATCGTGGAGTGCATTCTCTACTTGGTGACGTTCATGGGTGGGAGGAGGACCACAGACCCTTAATCTCACTGATAATAAAGATTAGACTATTCTTTCAAACAAAGCTTTGGAAGTTATTTGCCAAAATTGTTCCTTACAAGGTGAAAGATTGTAGCAGCTGCCCATTCAGGGAACAAAATTCAGTGTTTCAACAGTAAACTGAGACTTCGTTTTTAACGTGGTTATACAGGGAAATAAAGGCTCAAAAACGAAAGGAATAAAGCAATTGGTCTTTCCTAGAAAATTCTCTTAGTTCCTCTATGCTATCTATAAACCTAGAATCATCATGATTCCCATTGTTATTAAAGATAGCAAGTAAGAATATGCTTAAATTCTCTTTAGTAAGCACATATATGAAGTTAGGGGCAAAGGGCTAAGGATATCCTGAATAAGGGTGGACAAAGGGATGTATTCAGATGTCTGGATTGTTTGAGACGTGCGATGATTCTTGTATTTGGTATACTCTTATGTTGACATCTCTCATTTCAGCACCTGTGTATGAGTATTACAACTGCTAGATCTTATATCCTAAAAGAATGACAAGAAAGTAATCTTTGCAACCAGGCCTCAAGCAGATGTCGTGATTGTCCAGCCATTACAAGTGCTTACTACTGGTCTTTCTGCTCACAGGAGAGTTCAAGGAGTGCACTATATTGTTCAGCGATGTTGTGACCTTTACCAACATTTGTGCCCAGTGTGAGCCTATTCAGATTGTTCTCATGTTAAATTCAATGTACCTGCGATTTGACAGACTGACCACGGTGCATGATGTGTACAAGGTACGTACTGATCGATAAAGGCTATAGAAATAGTCTGGAAAAAGATTGTGGTGTTTCGTTTTTTTTGGTTTTAAACACACTTAAATCCTATGTTGTGACCTTTACCAACATTTGTGCCCAGTGTGAGCCTATTCAGATTGTTCTCATGTTAAATTCAATGTACCTGCGATTTGACAGACTGACCACGGTGCATGATGTGTACAAGGTACGTACTGATCGATAAAGGCTATAGAAATAGTCTGGAAAAAGATTGTGTTGTTGTTTCGGTTTTTTTGGTTTTAAACACACTTTAAATCCTCTTCCCCCCAGCATGATTTTTGATAAGTCATAACAAATTGCATATTTGTAGTGGCCACACAGAGAAACTAAAAACCAGGCAGAGGTGTGATTAAATACGTTTAAAATTTTCAGACAGGAATGTAACGTCTATCATGGGCTAGAGTCTCTTTCCACAACGCTAACACCAGAATGGCGGTTCTTTCACACATCTGTCTCTCAAATGCCTACCACAACGCTAACACCAGAATGGCGGTTCTTTCACACATCTCTCTCTCAAATGCCCGCCCAACATGACAGGATATCCTGTTTATGGACCAATTTGAATAATTTTCCTAGTTCTTTTATTCTGACCTGTTGCAAATATGTCATTATGTCATTAAGCGTCTCCTTTGGTGACACGAAATAACATTATAAACAACACCCAGATAATACCTAGAAACACCAGAATGGCGGTTCTTTCACACATCTCTCTCTCAAATGCCCGCCCAACATGACAGGATATCCTGTTTATGGACCAATTTGAATAATTTTCCTAGTTCTTTTATTCTGACCTGTTGCAAATATGTCATTATGTCATTAAGCGTCTCCTTTGGTGACACGAAATAACATTATAAACAACACCCAGATAATACCTAGACTTTTGCTCCATGGAGATCTGAGGCAACGGTATAGATCTCTTGCTGACCCCAAAGAGCATTGATGAGATCTTGACTTGTCTCCAAACCGTGCCGGAAGGATCAGAGCCCTGGCTGACATATAATAATAGCATTACTAACATCTCCAGAGCTACCCAGATTTGATGAGCTGAAGAGCAAGTCCTAAGTTTCTGTCTGTCCCCAGCACATGAAATATTGAGGAAGGCAGAAATAATAAAGGGTGAAATCCAAGTCTCATTCGTTCCTTGCTCAGGCAAGGCGTGCAGTTCCTCCCACAGTAAATCGTACTGGGAAATCTGAAGCATTTCTGCCTTGGCAGGGGAGCCATATTCAATAATTGAAGCATCCAGGATAAGGCCCACAGGTTTTAGGATAAATTAGCATCATATTCTATCTTAATCATCTATCATGAGTAAATTATCTGTCACAATAATAATTTTCTTTTTGTATATAACTCCTATTAATATTGAAGGAGGTTACTAGGGTACAGAGAGGGAGGACGAGATTACTATTTCAGGGAATTGAGAAGAAATGAAATATTGAAATTGATCAAAGAAACTTGGCTCAAGCTTATAAGCATCTGAAGTTATGAATAAATCTTGTTAAATTAAATCTCCTACCACAGCCAAAAAATAATTAGGATATCTATTTGCATTAGCAGCTTTTTACAGTTGTTTTTAATTTGTTACAGAAAATTACTGGCATTACGATGGAGCTGGCTATCTGACAGAAGCATGTACAGGAACACATTTTTCGAGACTAATGTGCTGAACAGTTTTAAGTCATTGTGTTAATGAACAAACCCAAAGATGAAATTATGTTCCCACTCTCCTATTGGTGTTCATTTTTAAGAAATCAAATTAATCTAATTTAAACCGATCTCTTATTTACTGATGGTAAATGTAACAATGAAGTCTCACAAGAGCAGTTCAGAAAATTTCCTTACCATGTAAGTCTTTTACAGCAGATTCTCTGTTTCAAACAGACCTCTTCTATTCCCAGCGAAACCTCTGGTACAGGGACAAACCCCAAAGTATTTCTCAGGTGCCTGATCAAGCCATTCAGGGAGACTGGGTGCCTGAAGGAGGACAAACCCTCCAGCATTTGTCTCACAGGCTGCAGCGTGTTGTGGGAAAACAGCTGGTCGTAAGGAAGGACGCTCCCGAACTGCTTAGTTCACACTTTGCATTCTCTGACATCCTGGCGATTGGAGGTTTCTTAATTTTGTGTGTATCTCTTAATAATAATCACCAGTGAATAGACACCTTTCCTTTATTGTGACTTAAAAAAAATAAATCTCTTTCAAAAGAAAGAAATAAGCTTTGAACACCAGTTGTGAATTAGAGCTAATTAATAGTGTTCAGCTATCGGCTACCCTCCTGGTTCAGGAGTCCGTGCCGGGGGACAGCGCTCTGCATACAGGTCTGCCCTGGCTAAGAGGAAGGCAAAAACGTCAGACACTTCCACAGCATCCCTTGCTCCTTAGGGTCTTTCACACTCATTTCTAAAATGTTTGTCCTTCTCGTATGTTTGTCCTTCTGAATTAAAGGTGGAGACAATTGGAGATGCCTATATGGTAGTAGGTGGGGTCCCAGTGCCTGTACCCACTCATGCTGAGCGAGTTGCTAACTTTGCCTTGGGGATGATAATAGCAGCCAAAGGAGTACAGAACCCGGTTTCTGGAAATCCTATCCAAGTAAGTTGTTAACGCAAAGATGCACGTGTGCCTGTCTGCTTCTTGGGTTGGGCTTCTGGTCAATGTGTTGCAGTAGGACATCAAAGAGATTCCTCTGACTCCTCTGTGACTTTGGGCAAGGCCCACATATTGGTACATTTTTCACAAAGAGCCTCTCCCTGTGGATATTTGATATTTTACTGGTGTCCAGTGTTGTGTTAGGATGAACTTTTAGGTGGCTGGTTAGCGCTAAGAAAGATGTTAAATAACAAGTGACGTTTTTGGGGGGTATTTTATGTCTTTGTAAAGATTAGAGTTGGGATCCATACAGGTCCTGTCTTGGCTGGAGTTGTTGGAGAAAAGATGCCTCGTTATTGCTTGTTTGGAGACACGGTGAATATAGCTTCCCGGATGGAGAGTCATGGTGTCCCGAGTAAAATTCATCTCAGCTCCAGTGCCTATCAGTGAGTAACTGTGATGGAAACTTTGCCTGTTAAAAGCTGTGCTAAAAAACACTGCCTTGACAGCTGCAGCTTTCAACATAGAAGATGCTGTCTTTAGTCACTGATTTATGCAGCTTACTTCTTAGAAAGAAAAAATCACTGCTTGCAAAGAGTTTTATTTGTTCTAATCATTTCAAATGCATTTGTATATGGAGACAGAGGTTTGAGAGTCTTGATCCTAAAGAGCGAAATATGGGCAAAAATAATTGTGATAGCTTATTTGGAAGTACCTGTAGAGTGATGGCGATGCTAGAAAAACGGTCAGAACATTTAATTTTACATCCTGCATAAGAAAAGCTTTAAAATCTCTCTGATTGCGCACAATAATTTGTGGTGAAACAGATTTTTTTGTGCATACTAAGGATTAACTGAATGAACTACTATCCTATTCATGCAGTAATTTACTTTCCTGAAACTCATGTCACTAAAAATTAAATACTATATTTTCAAGAATTTTATGAATGCATAAAATATGTATGCAAGAGGTGGAAGTGAACACAAGCTACAAAGGAGGAGTACAAAAGCATTGTCTGGGCACATAGGAGTGATATTAGGAAAGCAAGAGCTCAACTAGCGTTGAAATGGGCAAGGAAGGTTCAAAGGCAGCAAGAGGAGCTTCTGCTATGTCAGCAGAAAAATATAAATGGAAACGTGGACCTGCCGTGGCAGGTGATGTAGTGACTGTGCCCTGAATAAAGGCTGAGTTACTCAAGGCCACTCTTGCCTCAGTCCTCACTGACGAGGTCTTCAAGGTCCCTGCACCTAGAGTCACAGTTTAAGGAGTAGGTGAAGTACCAGTGTTGTAAGAGGATCAGATCAGGGGTCTTTTGAGAAATCTCAGTCTATAGACGTGTATGGGAGCAGACGGGATGCCTCCAAAAGTAGTGAGAGAGCTGGGTGATGGCATTATGGTGCTGCTGACTGTCATCTTTGGAAGGTAATGAAGATCAGCGCTGTAGCAACTGAAGAAAGCCAGATGTTACACTTATATTGAAAAATGGCAAGGAGGACAGGCTGGGGAACTATAGGCAGGTCCGCCTCATGTCAGTCCCAGTGAAAATCAAGTCTTCTTGGAAACCGTTTTTGGGCACATGAAGAAAGCAATTGGGAATAGTCCGTCTGGATTTACCAGGAGTAAACCATGCTTGACGAACCTGATTGCCTTCTCTGATTAAATGACTGGAGATCTGTCTGATATTGGCTGCTTCAGTTCTTAACTTCTATTTACTTTTCAATAAGAACCCTCCACCATACTGAAGTATTTGACTATGTGATCCATTGATTTTTGATCAGGCTGTACGTGTAAAGCTATAAAAGCGCAGCAGGCTGGAATGAACAGTTGAAACAAACCCTCGGTTGTTCATGGATCAATACTGTTTTTCCCAGACTCTTGTGATTTGATTAGTTAGATTACAGTAGCTCTTCTAAAACATCAGTGTCAGTTTTGTTTATCCTGAATTTTCATGTGTCGTTTTGCTTCTGATATTTTTAGATGCCTGAAATACAAGAATTTTGAGATGAGTGAAAGAGGAGAAATAGAAGTAAAAGGCAAAGGGAAAATGCACACATATTTCCTCATTAGAAATAAAACTGCAACTGAGAATGAGATTATGGGAAGGCCAATGAAAGACTTAGGTTCTGGCCATGAATCTGTTCAGTCCTTTCAAGAAGGCAGGACTGAAACAACACGAAGTTGTCATCAGTCAGGTAGAGTCAACTCAACATATCTTTCCCTCCTTGAGCAAATGAATGTTAATACAACTCAATTAAATATCCTTTTCTGTTCTCCTTTCAGCTACTCAGACTCAGCCAGAGAAGGACCAGACCCCAGCCATTGCAATGAAGTATATTGATGGCCCCATGGATGCACAAAACAGCCTCAAGAGAAGAAATCAAGCGAAAATTGCAGATTTAACAGGTAGTTATTTAGTTACCATCTAGCAAAGACAACAGAATTAGGAATTAACTGAGGCTTAATCTTGCAGCTGCGTTATGTTCCTCTTCTGAATAACCATTGTTTTACTCAAGCCAGAAATCCATGCCAACATAACCATGTTGGTAAAACTAACCATTCTGCACACTGCTTAGGGTCAAACAGATTCACCTTCAGAGCAATCCCAGGCGTTAATTGTGCGCCAGGGAGAAAGAAGCTGACATAGCTGTCAAACCCCAGAGTCCTTCTGGCAGTGCAAGCAGAACGAATCGTTAGCTCGTCGCGTGGACGGACCCAATTGTTCACATACGCATCTTTTCCTAGAAAAGCTGCCATTACTTGTAGTTATGGGGAAGCCCTTATCAACTGAAGCCTGAGAGGGACCTCACTGTGTAGCCGTGCAGCCTGGCGGTCCTCGAGCCGGTCTCCTGCAGGAGTCAGGAGGATTTATTGCTATGCCCATGTTCTGCGACCAAAGTTCATTCTCCTTTGAAGTAGCTGATACCGAAAGAGAGATAACAGATTTGATGCCATAACAGTCTAATCTAATGCAGCAAGTCTTGTAATTCTGTTTACATGTTTTGGGGATTTTATACAGACTCAATGTGTTGTCACTGATTACCAGACAATATTTAACTCCCTTCCCTCCCACCTGCTTAGACGTGGCAGTTAATCTAGTATATGGTGTGCTGACAAACAGAAATCTCTATGGTCATTAAAAACTCACACTGAAGGAGTGTTTCCTTTCAGGCAAAACTTACGATTCCAGAAGCGATGGGAGTCTCCATGGCAACCAGCATGCAGATGATGGTCCTTGTCCTCTAAACCAGGGAAGGGTCAAACCTGCTACTGAAGAGCCACAGATTAGAAATGTTCGCTCTAATTTCTGCACTTTACTCTGAGTTTCTTACTTTTTACATTAAGCAGCACTTTTGTTATGATTTAGTTCATTTTGCTGTTGTGGGACTGATTTTGTATATCAAATATCACATGATTTTGTAAAAAAAAAAAAAAAGAAGAAAAAAGACATTTCATCACAGTTTTCAGCAAAAATAGAACAATGGAGGATTTTATTTTTTTTTAAATCAATCTACATGTGCCATATAATATTCCCGCTGGAGAAGGAAACTACCGCGAGATGCTTTGAAGACATATTTTTCAGCCACTGCCATGTCTTTGGGTATCTCTATGTAAAAATCACTTTTTGGTATCTCATGCAGCAATAGAGAAAGAGGTGACTCATCCAGCTAGAAATATTCCTACTCAAACGAGCACTTGCCATAAAAGAGACGTTCCCTGAAGTGACCATCTGACTTGACTTCAGCACAGCCAACAACTTCCCCGTGTAGAGTTTGAGCTACTTTTGAACTGCAATGACAGTTTAATCTCTTAACAGGTCTTTTGTTGGGTAAAGGCATCATGCAGTAGAAGTGCAGAACAGATCTGATACAACCTGTATTTTTCCATCCTGAAGAGAAAATATTGTGTACTTTATAGCACCCCAAAGTCAAAAAACCCAAACATCTGCAACCTTTGAAGCAGCTGTCCATGCTGTGCTTCAGTGATCATAGCGGGACATGCACGTAGTGGAGTTACGTAGCAGCGAATTCATCACAACACTGAAGGACCGTTCAAGGCCTATGAATTATTGGAGCCCTTCACACGAGTTGCAAGTTTATTTCTCATTTTCTTACCCCAGCTAAACAAAAATACAGTTTCAGGAGTACAGAGGGAGCCTGTCAGTGCTGGAATTAATGTTGTTCACGTCATTGAAAATAACAGCGTTAAAGATCAACATCACTTACGCGGTGTCAGAGGCTCCTCAGCTGAATTACTGCCATGCTGACATAGTCTTAGATTACGCCTGATCAGAAATGGCAGAGAAAAATTGAAGTTCAGCTGTCAGGGATTTACCACGTAGGAGCGACAATACAATGGATATAAAGGCTGCGGACAATTTGGCACGTCATGAATTGTGGTCTCTCTCCTATAAATGCAGCCTGGAGTAGGTGGAATTGTACTGGGTGACTTTGTCGGGAGGTGTGCCCCGCACACCGGTTTATTGCCTTTGGGCATGGATTCGTTGCCTAAGGATGCAAGCATGAGACCCATTTGAACTCTGAGCAACAGCTCAAACTGGAGGAGACGGTAATGTTACTCCTCTGTTACAGTCTGGAGCATCACATTTCCACCTCTGTGGCAAGAGTCAGGCTCTTTAAACACCAGAGGGGTAAGACTGATGAAACACCCCCACCCCCCCTCTGTAGTATGACAAGATGAAATTTCACCTGGTTAGGTTTCCTTTTTAAATCTCCGAGACAGCAGCTCCCTTGCCTGGGTGCTCTGCAGCTCTCTCTCCGTTAGGAAGTAGTGCAGATAGCAGAGGAGGACGCGTACAGGAAAACTGTCAGTGCCGTTGTGTTTCAGAGGGCTTGCTAGTGTGGTCCCACGCACCCAATACCTGTTACCTTTTGGAGCACCTATAAGCACATCCTCTGACTCGGGTCCTTCCAGAAGAGATCTGAGACCATGCTACAAAGTACTGTGAGGGGGTTTGAGCAGGCAGTTCCCTGAGGAGGGTACTCCTGACTGACCGAAATGCTGGTGTAGACGCACCCTTTAACATTAGCACTTTGCACGGTACAGCTGAGCAGCACCACTCTGGGAGAGCGTGGGTTTATGAAGGGCAGGATTGATTGATTTATAAGGATTTTGCTACCTAGGCACTGCTCATTATTTTGGCGAGGGTGAGATCTACTGCAGGTTGAAGATACATCTAAGAATTGTTATTAAGTTGGATATCAAGATTTTAAACATTGTCCTCTAAACTGTGTGCTACCCTCAGACACACAATTTCTAAATTTCACCTTCATCCTTAGAAACGCCTCCCCACCAGTCTGGTGCTCGTGGCTTTGCACTTCTGTATTATCACCGTAGCTTTAAAAAGGCTGTCCTAAAGAAAGATAATATCCAATTCCTCTCTCACTTGCAATGATGTAAATATGAAGTAACAGCTCAATTGGTACTATCGCACTGATTGAAGTTGAGAATCAACTCCAACGACTTTTTTTGTCTCCAACCTAGAGATGCAATTCACTACTCTTGACTAGTCATGCTGACGGAACGGAGAACACCTCATTTAAGAAATGGCAGTGGTGGACTCCGTCTTTACCAGCGTTCGCTGTGGAGATATAAAGCCACGTAGCCCCACGCACAAGTCCGACGCAGGAGCGTACATCTCTCAGTGGCCAGTGCTAACGCAGGAGGGAACCGCTCGCTGTCTCAGCTGCTCTTGCAGTCCCGTACCTGCACGGCTGAATGCCACTGACCACCTCTCCGAAAGGAAGAATTTCCAATCGGAAATTGTCCAACAAGCCTGGCCATCAGTGAATAGGGTTTAGTATATATTCCAGGGTTTAATATAGATGTATTCAGAGTGGTTTTTGGTAGAAGCGCAGAGCTCCTCTGAACTTGTATGGATCCTCTTGGGAAGAAGAAAGAAAAGGACCGTGGCTTAATTGCTGTCTGCATCTCTCTGTCCAAAGTTTAACACTCGCTTTGCTTATACCAGCCCTTTTTGCACTGAACAGTCCATGAATGTTTAATATTGGAATGTTTTAATTGCCAGTAAGTGCTCCATGGTAAGTTACTTCATGCTGTACTGCGGTAAAACTGATGTGCTCAGTGGTTTCTCTGTGGCCTCTGCTACAATCTGGTTCTCCTGGAGATGCAATGCTAGGTCAAATCTGCGCAACTGCTTTTAAAAATTAACGTGCCTGTGCATCATCATGTGTTCTTAAATCTGTGGGCACTGCTAAAGACTGCAAAAATATCATTCAAAAATAAATCTTTCCATTAATATACTGACTGCCATTTGTCGATGACTACTTTGACTCCTTTCCCTCTTCTCCCTTCCAACTTTTCTGTTCTTTTTCCCTATAAGTATACAAATGTTTAAGACCATTATACCTCTAATAAATGTCCAGTGAGTTGAGTTTCTTGACCATACACAAAGCTCTATGTATTTCTGTGACATCAGAATCAGCATTCACTACAGCTGATGTTGTCATATGCTTACTAATACGCAGTCTTAGTGTCAGTGACCTATCTACATTGAATTGACACAAAAAGGGTGGGAGAAGAGAATTCCCACTGTTGCCTCACAGAAGCTGAGGCTTAGAAAACTTAGAAGTTGAGACTTTTGAAAGCTGTCTAAAGCATATGGATTCCCAAATCCCATTAAATCTGGAGTTCAAACACGAATTGTCAAAAGCTTGGGTACCTTAAAGCTCCAGGGGCCAGATCTTCAAAGATGTTTACTTTGCTAAGTGAAATCGACTGGATTTAGGTACTTAACTGCACACATACACAGTGTCCAGTTTCTGACAATGAAGCTTTCTTATAAACATTTAAAAAGTAATTCCCTGTAAATGCCTTCTAAAGTGAGCTGTTCAGTAAACTTGGCAAACTGTAACCTCATTTGCTGGAAGTCATCGATTCATTACTTCTGACGTTACGATGCAATTCTGAATGGACCAAGCTGAACATAAAAATCCACAAATAAAATAGCGGTGAAATTGGAATTATTACTTCATTAGTGAGAATATATTAAAAAATATACTTGAATATACAAAACGTGGTGCATTTCAAACTGAAGAACGAAGCACAGATTTTTATACAAGTATACAACATCATGGAAAATCCAGAAGGGATTTTTTTTTCCACCAGGTCTCTGCTTTCACTTTTGAAAGCTCAAGAGTTTAAGTGTAGACAACGAGAAGAAAGTCTTCCTTACAGTTATCGGTACAAACATCTACTGCTCCTCTATCCTCTGTACAATGCTCAATCATCAGTGCTGCCTATACATAAAGGAAGAGCAATGTACAGTATTTTGGTTCCATAAATACTTGTAATCAAAATAAACAGGTGGGACACTGTCTTTACTCATATGACTAGAACTAACAAGCACTCCTAATTTTTAACAAGCTGTAGTTCTCTCTCACATTTATTTTGCACCTGTTTGCTGAATTTCTGCTAATGATTTTTGATCCAAGCTGTTCTGAGAAGCCATGCCTGAGAAATTCTGATATTCACAATTCTTCCTATTTTGACATGGTCTCTGGCTGGATTAACACACCAAGTCAGAAACAGATTTGTGGTCACGTTTTCACACTGATTAGTACTTACTCTCCCCTGTGCTCCCTTAGAGGCGACCCCCCCAAAACGGACAAACAGTCATTGCCAAGCTTTGCAGAAATTCAGAGTAACGTCGATGGACTCTGTGATGCCTTCTTAACTTATTAGCGTTAGTACTGTGAAGTTTTAAAGATTTACATACAGAGAAAGCCTCACAGGCTCTTTACTAGCTCTTATTTTGTCATTTGCATCAAACACTCCCTGGCAAGGGAATCAGCAAACACAAGCAGTGACATGGTTTCTGCTTTTTGCGACAAACATTGAGACCAGCTTCAGCACCCTGTTTACAGCAGTCCTAAGGTAAGGGATCCTCGAGACACACTGCGCAGCAGCTGCTTTGCGGAGGTACCTTTGCTATCGTGTGGCTTCATCACGGTGCGTGGGCTTCCAGCTGGCCGTGTCGTGGCTTCCATTTCCATGCTAAACATGGGGCCAGTGACCCGAAACACAGGCTGGGTGACTCTCTGCAGGCATCCTGCCAAAGCGTTTTGCAGGAAGGGAACCTGACACACAGCTATCATTTAAGGCCAATTTATCTTGAGAATCAATGGGCCTTTAAAAATTCACCAGCTCACATATCCTTTTCGGCGATGGTGGTTAACTGTTTTGTGCTCTGATTTTGTGGGCTTTTGAGGGAATCTTGCTTCTCAGCATATGATGACATATCCATTGGTAAGAGGAAACTAACAGCCTTTACTTTACCCCT